TGTAAAGAAATAGGCGAGAAAAATATTAGTCCGAAAGTCGGCTGAATCGGGAACCGAACCCGAGATCTTTCGCTTGCCGGGCGACTGCTCTTCTAACTTGGAAGCTCTTTATATACTCATTACTTTGATCAAACTAAACGACCTTTATTAGTTTTTCGTAAACAATATTTAGATTATGCGTGTCTTTTTGTAAATTGATTGTGTTGTCAAATTTTTTGATAAAAAACATCTCCGCGATTTCTCGTTTTTGTACATATTTCTCATGATGTAAAATTTCAGGAGCGGACCAATCAAAATCATGACCATTATCCAATTTATGATTACTGATGACTGAATAATTACTAGTGTGTAACTTAATGTTATTAAAATGTTCTTTTATACGTGTGCCTAATTGTCGTTTAGTCTGACCGATGTATAATAAGGAACAATTTGCGCAGTTAATTTTGTATACTATTCCTGTTTTTTCTTTTAAAGATAAAGGATCTTTGACACGTTTAATTAGTGTATTCAATTTTTTCGGTATACAATAAACGCTTTGCATGCCTATAGATTATAATAATCTCGAAACGTCTTCACTTAGTTCTTTGACGTACGGTAATTTTATGATGTGGTCAAATTGTTTATTAACTAAATTATTGTTGTCAACATTGCGATCGTCGTTATTTCGTATCTCAAGCAATTTTAGCCTATTTTTTACAAACTTATTAACCACATTCGACGGAAAACCATTGTTCATGAGTATCGATTTTACTTTAGCGATGTTCACTTGATGAAAACTGTCGTCCGATAATAAAATCGCATGATCGACAAGACTAAAAATGGCATGCATATATAATAATTATTCAGTCATCAGTAATCATAAATTGGATAATGGTCATGATTTTGATTAATTCACTCCTGAAATTTTACATCATGAGAAATATGTACGAAAACGAGAAATCGCGGTAATGCTTCTTATCAAAAAATTTGACAACACAATCAATTTACAAAAAGACACGCATAATCTAAATATTGTTTACGAAAAACTAATAAAGGTCGTTTAGTTTGATCAAAGTAATGAGTATATAAAGAGCTTGAAACCGACACAATAATATAGTTAATTGTTTCACATTATTGTTTTATTATATCTTGTCACATTCTAAGATCAAAAATTAAGGTTTTTTTAAAAAAGTTGTGTTTTAAGTAGGTTTACATATTAATGTGTGGAAATATTTATCGTTTTATTATAGTTACTTTGTTACCTTTTAATTTTTTAATTTTCTAATAATTGTCATTATTATATATTATAGCACTTGATATAAGGGCCGAAACCCATGGCCGAAACGTCGTGAATATTGAATAAAGATCACTTAATTTGCCAGAGTTGGTAGAATAAATTAAATTAATTATTAAAAAACTAAAAATTAATTAAACGACTTAGACTTAGATGATAATAATAATGAAACATTTTATTAAAAAAAGATTCAATAACTAGTAGGTCATGTTATAATTTTTTATTTATTTATCTATAACATTATGAGCTATTAAGCTCATCATCTCGTTCGCTCTCTATGTCTTGCTTTCATTCGGCAAGTCACAAACGGATTAAAATAAAGATAAGAAAAATCGCGAATCATCTCAAACAAAATTTCGGAGCTCTGATAATCGAATAGATATATGATACTCGTATGTTCCTACTTCAACTCTCGAGAATCTGAAACAAAAGAAACTCGTGTCCAATATATATATTATATAAAAGTGTATAGCACTTCACTTGGCAGTTTATCCGAGGCTGTGAAACAGTAAAGATCGAGGCTAGCAGAAGTAGCAGATTAAAAGTTGAGTAAGTAGTAATTAATTAATATTATATATATTCGTATTTACGCGCGCGCGCGCGCGTGTGTGTGTGTGTGTGTGTGTGGGTGTATGTAGGTGAAGAATATATATATATATTCATTAATTTAATTTTTATATATATATATATATATATATATCGTAACCAGATTACAAAATTCGTCGTTTTATAAAATGTCTAGATATTTTATTAAATGCGGCCACATTCTCAAATTATGGTATATTGAAAATGAAATGTTTTTCAATCTGGCTAAAAATTTTAGTCTTTTTATAAAAAGGACCCGCATTGTCAAACGCAACGATTGTTTGTACATTTATTTTAGATTCTGATGGCTAATTCACTTTAGTCATTTAATGAACGGTTTGACTGATGTTATTTTTAGTATTTTTATAAAATTTTTAATATTTTTATAAATTTTATAAATTATAGTACTTTTTATAAAATCTAATTAACACATTTATTACAGTTGAGATTTTATGATAAGTAACATGAGTCTTTTGTTTATAGAAAATTAATAGAGATAAAACGCGTCGTTCATATTAAATGACTGAAGTGAACCAGCCAGAATTTAAAATGACGTACAAATCATTGAATTTGACAATGTGGCGATGAGTTTCTTTTCATATATAAAAACTAAAATTCTTAGCCAGATTATAAAATATTTCATTTTTAATCATAATTTAAGAATGTATGTGGCTGCACTTAATAAAATGGCTAAACGTTTTATAAAACGACGAATTTTGTAATCTGGCTACAACATTTATATATATATATATATACAGAGTGTCCGGTGACTCATGTTCCAACTCTCGTAGATAGGTAGAGTGGGCCAAACCGAGACGAAAAGTCCTGTATCATTTTGCGAAATTCTTAATAATTAATGATTTATTCATAAAAAACGTCGGCCAATTGTACGCGTCTTCACTCAGAGGTGGAAACGTCACTAGGCGCCCGGCGCCGTCATTAAGCGCGCTGGGCGGAGCGTTCGACAAAAGACAAGCCCGATCAGGACGGCTATGTATGTGCTTATAAAGTGAAGGCTTGACAAATTATTTTTTACAATTTTAAAATTTCGACATCATATTTGGTAATGTACTATAAAAAATACGTAAAATTACTAATATAAAAATAAGTGAAAATTACATAATAAATAATAAAAAAATATTACATTTATTGTTAATGTAATTTTACATAATTTTTTGTGTATCTCGAAATTCAGAATGCATAGGAAACAGAAATTCGATGCAAATTACACGATAATACTCGGATACGTTTAGTCGAAATTTTAATATGAATAACAAATAATCATTTTCTCAAGAGACATCTCTCTCTCTCTCTCTCTCTCTCTCTCTCTCTCTCTCTCTCTCTCTCTCTCTCTCTCTCTTTCACACACACACACACACACACTCTCTCTCTCTCTCTCTCTCTCTCTCTCTCGTGGCATATTTAATCATCCTTTCCTCACCACCTTGCGGTAGATAACATGGCGCATTTTTTTTTAAGTGATATCCCCAATAGGTCTAATCCACTCTCATATTTTAATTCAACAGTTGTTCGAAGTGATTTCCTCCTTCGCGCGAACACAATTCGGCTCTTCGAACCATATTTCGCGTAGCGCGATACGCCATTTCCGGCGTGATGCTATTAAAAGCAGCGAGAATTGCTTCTCGTACTTCTGCTTCTGTGCTATCACGCCTGTGCACGACTAAATTTTTAATGTGACCCTACACGAAATAGTCGAGCACATTGAGATCTGGCGATCGCGCCGGCCAAATAATTGGTCCACCTCGACCGATCCACATGTCGGGATAGTGCGCATTTAAAAAATCGCGCAGTTGACGCGCGAAATGCGCAGGTGCCCCGTCATGTTGGAAAATGAGGCCTGCTCTTACATCGAGAGGGACATCCTCGAGTGAATCACATAACTCATTTTCCAGGAAACGTCGGTAGAATTCACCATTTAGTCGCGGCGGTAAGAAATAAGGGCCGATCTAAAAAAACGTCACAAAAGAATTTATTAAAGTTGCAATGGAAAATTTCTTAATTAATAAGAAAATTTATTATTTACAATTTGGTTTCCAATTATTCCTGCCCACACGTTTGTGGTCCACCGATACTGAAATGCCTATTGTCGAATAACGTGCAAGTTTTTTTTCCGCCCAATAATAATTTTGGCTATTAAGTACGCTGTTCGGTGTAGGTAAACCTCGCTTTGTCTGTCCAGAGAATGCAATCCGGAAAAGATTATCTCGCCGGCATTGAGCATAAAATCCTACGCATTTTCATAGATTGTTGATATTTATTAAATTTTTAATAACGCGAAAACATGAAATAAACATGAAAAAAATATCTTCACAAAAGTAGACGTGCGATGCTCTATTCTCGATAAAAGTTGTACCCGCTGAAAATAATACGGGTGCAATCCGTTTTGGCGTAGAGTACGGTGCACCACGTATCGCGAGAGACCGAGTGTCCGAGCTGCACGGCGCACATTGTTCCGGGGATTCTCTTTGAACTTTCTCAGAATTCTTTCTTCCGCGTTTACATCATAATGCAATGGTACATTTGCATTTCGACGATTTGGAAGAATATTTCCTGTCTCGCACGTTGAACACATCTTAATATGGTGAGAAGGATATCGCTCACGCCCGGGGAATCTCTCCGCGTAAATGCAAACCGCGGCACGAGCCTTTTCTCCGATTAATTCGTACGCAATAATTATACCAGTATACTCCTTTGTAATTATTGTATTTCATTTCTTATCAGGCATGTGTGATCGCGACCGAATGCAAGGCATAAGCATTTTAAACAAATAAATGTTTGTAAGCTGGTAACATTTGTTTTGTTATTCATTTGTTATCATTTTCTTCTTTATCCCGTTGTTTCTCGACACTAGTCGCTGCCCAGCATTCGACGTATACGTAGGGATGTTCCGATACCATAAAAGTATCGATACCTACTCAAATGAGTAGTACTCAAATCGTCTGAGCGATACTACTCATATGAGTACTCCAAAAGTATCGATACTTACTCATATCGATATTTTTTTCATTTTTTTATGCAAATAAATTAATGCTGAATGTATATGATATTTTACTTGAGTGTTTATTTTATATAGTTTAATAAAACACGTTAAATACTTTTATTTCTTTATTAATAATAATTGTTAAACAAAAAAGTCATCTTTTGAAAGATTTCCCAAAAAGAGCAATTGCTCTAAATATTTAGGAGACAACTTATTTCTGTTTTGAGTCATAGTTGCACCAGCTTTTGAAAATAAGCATTCACTAGGCACAGATGTTGCAACGACGATAAGATATTGTTGAGCATATTTGTACAAACGAGGAAAAATGACTTTCATGTCTTCTGCAAATGAGTTGTTCTTCAAAGATATTACAGGGTTTGATAAATAAAGAGATATTTCATCACTTTGGTGCGTTTTCTGTTTCTTTTTGTGACCATGCACTAGCTCTTTATGATATTTCCAAAAGTCATATTCCTGTGTTACACTAGACGAAGCATCTTCCTCCGAACTTGGACTACTTTGTTGCTCATAAATCATACTTTTGAGTTTTTGTATGGCTTGCCCGCATGCTGCTGGATCTTGAAAATGCAGGTTTTTAAACCTTGGATCCAATAAAGTAGCAATGGCTGCATGGTCATTGCATTCAATTAATCCATACCTTTTCGTCAGCTCTCTCAATAAAACTTCCTTGCATTCTTTTACAATTGGTAAGACTGGTGTGATACTATTAAGTTTGGTTGACAAACAATTAATCATTGGTATAATTTTGGATATCGTGACATACTTTTGTCCAGATGCTTCTCTTGTGACGTATTCAAAAGGCTTTAATAAAGCTGTAAGTTGGTTGAGTGTTTCCATCTCTACAGCAGTTGGCATGTCGGGTGCTGAAACACTTTCGATTACGATTTCAGATATCACTCTTCTCAAATGTAAGAAGCGCTCCAACATGAAAAAGGCCGAATTCCATCTTGTTTTAACATCAGCAACAAGTTTCAAAATTGAACCTTCAGGAATATTGTTTTGCATTTGAATTTTTTTTCATTTGTCTGGCTGCACAACACTATTTTTTATCCAATGCACAATTTCTCGAACTTTAAATATAGCTGTTTTAACGCTAGGTAATTTTAAAGTCTCTCCAACAACGAGATTTATCGTATGCGCAAAACACGGCAAATGCTTCTTTTCACCAATAGATGTTCTTATGGCTGCTAACATAGAACTGGCATTATCTGTCACCACGGCACGAATTTTACTTTGTGATATATTCCAATTATCAAAAATATCCAGAAGTGTTTTCGATATATATTCAGCTGTATGTCTTTCGTTTAGCGCACGAGTGGCTAGGTAAAACATACACATTTCTTCGTTTTGTAGAAAATGTGCTGTCACACCTAAAAAACCTCGTTCGTTCATTGTTTCCGTCCAAATATCTAGTGTGAGACAAATATTGTCTATTTTTGACAATCTAGATCTAGCTGTAGCCACACAAGCCTTATATTTTTCTTGAGTCTTTTTTTTTAAATATTTTGCACCAGGCACTTTAAAATTAGGTTGCAGCTCCTTTATAAGACATAAAAAGTCTTCTCCTTCGACAATGTTAAAAGGCCGCATATTTTTGCAGATAAAAAAACCAAAGACTGAATTATTTTGTTATATATTGTACCTCCCTCTAAAATAAAAAATTATTTTAAAAAAATTGCAATCAAATACAATGATTAAGTACTAAGAATAATTTTTTTACCTTTATTGGACGAAACTCGCGAAAAAGCCTCCTTTAAAGTATTTTGCAGTATCGTCTTCGTCCTATTTGCGCTATCATCGGCGTCGTAATCAATATCAGATTTTTCTTCTGATTCCGAATATTTTGATGTTGATGATGGCTGTGATAGGTTAGACATGGGTTCCTCAACAACTGTACTCGTCGATTTAGCGGACGTTGTTATACTTTTTGAACTGAAATATAAATTGTATTTTATAATAGTTGAAGGATATCTACCATTGAAGTGCCCTATCGATACCCGATACTATTTATCGTATCTTGTAACTACGAAATTCAAAATAATAGTTACTCGTAGCTACATGAATAAAATTAAATTACTGACAAACAAAAGATAACAACTCATAACCTAAAAAATAAGTCTGTACAGATATAACAATTTTGTATCAGAGAATATTAAAGAGAATTATTTTTAGATACATACCCAGCAAACACAATATATAAATGTTATATACTTAAGCATGTTACATGTAACGTATATGTTAGTTGTAATTTCCCACTCATAGATGTAACATTTTTAATATTACATATATTACATTGTAGTTATATTGTCATTATATCCCAAGATAGCACTGACTTATCAATACATCAATGTGCTATTTGATATATAATTACAATATAACTACAATGTAATATATGTTATATTAAAATGTTACATCTATGAGTGGGAAATTACAACTAACATGGATGTTACATGTAACGTACACGTTATATTACCTGTTATATTCCGTTTTATTATGGCAATGTAACAATTATGTTCAGAAATAAGCCTGATCCTAAAGTATAGGTCGTTCAATTCTCCGTTTATTATCGTTCGACATCTCAGTAATTATTCGCGCCAACGCGGGACAACACGTCAAAAACACATGTGATCCACGTGTTACTCGCCTGTCTTTTCCTTCGCTCGACGCAAATCGCCTGCGCAAATCCCCAAAATTCTCGCTTCGCGCCTTGGCTACGTGTCTCGGATCATTATTGAGCGTCCAGCCACGAGACGAGATAGATCAATACACCTTTTGTTGAAATATCGTCCGCCTCGTTTCTAACACTCTTGTTATAATTTGTGATTTGAATAAAAGTATATTAAAACGAATCCGCGAGTGACCATTAACAAAAACTACCGCCTTGGCGTGCGAACCTTTTATACAAGGTTTTACCAACGAGAAACAAAACATTTTGGTCCTTCGAGCCGGATCGTCGCCAAGGACAATTATTGGCATTCCGAATCACGATCGTCGATATGAACACCTCGACATCTTTCGAAGAGCTTTTGGCTCTGCAAACACAGAAGATGAGTTTCGTATCACGGGCGCTCATCAATTACAAGAAGCTGGGGCAAGCCAAAATGACACCTGCGGTGACACGTCAACGTCTCGTCACCTTGAAGGAAGCCTTTGCCACTTGCCAGGAGCTCGACAGTCGAATCGGGCTTCATGCGGACGATGACGACAAAGCATCGCATACCTACTTCACAAAGAATTCGTTTCTGGAATGTGAGGACTGCTACAACGAGGCTGCCGACTACATGGCTGAGGTATTAGAGAGCTACGAATCCCGCATCCCTCCCGCTACATCATCACAAAACGTAAGTGGCTTGCATGATGTTTTCCGACCCGCGTCGCATCTTCCGAGGATCAACCTACCGACCTTCGACGGGAGCATCGACAAGTGGGAAAGCTTTCGCGATAAATTCCAATCGATGATTCATAATGATCCTAGTTTGTCAAATGTCGATCGCTTACATTATTTATGCTCATGTGTAAAAGGGGATGCAAGTAACGCGCTTGACCACCTCGCGGTAACCAATAATAATTTCGACGTCGCGTGGAGAATTCTAGTCTCTCGGTACGACAACAAACGTCGTCTTGTTACAACGCATTTACAATCGCTGTTAAATTTGCCGTTACTGACCACAGAAACCGCTCATGACCTTCGTCAGCTTCGCGACCAAACAAACAAAGCAATCCAAGCGCTTAGAAATCTCAACCGTCCTGTCGAACATTGGGATGATTTGCTTGTTTTGCTCGTCGCACAAAAACTCGATAAATACTCGCGTAAAGCTTGGGAACGCAAGCTCGGCGATACGGTGGAATATCCGCGTTATAATGAGCTCGATCAATTTTTTGAGTCTCGAATTCGCGCTCTCGAGGCGATCGTACCACTTTCTAAAGAAAAGCCATCCTCTACCTCTAAAGGAAAAATTCTTGTGTCGCATACCGCGTCCACCGTTTCGTTCGCATGTCCGTTGTGCAAGGCCAATCATTTATTATACCAATGTTCGACATTTTTAAAGCAAACACCCTCTCAACGTTTCGATTTTATTAAGCAGCGAAAACGATGTTTAAACTGTTTTAGTAGTAAGCATTCCGTCAAAGATTGTTCGAATTCGCGCGTATGCCGCCAGTGTAATAAACGTCATCACACGTTATTACATTTCGATAGCTCGACTCCGCCGGTGCAAACGGAGTCACCGCCAGCAACAAGCGCAAATGTAAACGAAGTCATGTCGCATTTACTATCGAAAACCGTCGCGCCTAATTCTAATATTTTGCTTGCGACTGCCCGAGTGAGAGTCTATTCGCCTGTTGGACGTTTTATAACTGCACGCGCACTGCTGGATCAAGGTTCCGTTTCGACGTTTATTACCGAATCGCTCGCGCAACGTTTACGACTCTCTAAAATAAATCGTTCGATTTTCGTCACCGGCATCAGCGAGATGCAATCTGTTGTCCGTCACGCCGCTCATCTTACAATTACGCCGGCGAATCGCGACGAACTCGCTTATTCAACGACCGCACTCATTCTTCGATCGTTGACAAAATATGTACCGAATCGAATAAGCACGACGGGTACGTGGAACCACGTCGACGGACTCCAATTAGCGGATAGTGACCCCATGAGTACCGACCCGATTGATATAATAATCGGAGCGGATTTATACGGCATGCTCGTACTCGATGGTGTTCGACAAGGTTCCGAAACGGAGCCCACCGCGCAAAATACTACTCTCGGTTGGATTTTGTCCGGGCCAATCGCTTCGTCCCCGACCAATCTTTCGATTTTTGAGACCGCGCATCACGGAGTCGTCCTTGAAGCGTTAGATTTCGACCTTCGTCGTTTCTGGGAGACTGAAGAGGTCCCTCAGACCCAACACCATAGCCCTGACGAGCGCAAGTGTGAAGAGCACTTTCTCGCTACCCATTCCCGCACTCCTCAAGGACGCTATATTGTTAGATTACCGTTTAAAACCGGACCACCACTCTCGTTAGGAGAATCTCGCTTCATTGCCGAATCGAGCCTCTATCGCTTAGAGCGACGTTTCAAACGCAATCCATCTATCGCTTCAGAATACCACGACTTTCTCACGGAATACAAAAACCTTGGTCATATGATCAAAATTCTACCGACAGAAATTGTACAACCGGATCAAAGTTATTACATACCGCATCATGCTGTCTTACGTGACAGTAGTGCAACTACTCGACTGCGGGTTGTTTTTAATGCATCCTGCCGTACCACTAACGGAACCTCGTTAAACGATAATATGTTTATCGGACCTAAACTTCAAAAGGATTTGGCCGCTGTCATAATGCAGTGGCGCCAATATCGTTACGTATTTACCGCCGATATCGCCAAAATGTATCGTCAAATTTTAGTTGACTTCCGCGATACTGATTACCAGCGCATTCTATGGCGCTCTTCTCCCAGCGAACCTGTTCGCGACTACCGTCTTCTTACCGTGACGTACGGCACTGCCGCCGCTCCGTATCTCGCTCTTCGAGTGCTAGACCAACTCGCTGAAGATGACGGTGCTCAATTTCCGTTGGCCGTCCCTGTTCTACGTCATCAAACATACGTTGATGATTGCGCGTTCGGAGCCGACGATCATATCCTTGCACGGCAAACACGAGACCAATTAATCGCGCTTCTCGCTAAAGGAGGCTTTCGCCTACGAAAGTGGGCAAGTAATTCTCCAGATCTTTTGTCAGACCTCGATCCTGCCGATCATGGACTAGCCACTCACAAAGTCCTCCAAGACGATGAACACCTTAAAGTGTTAGGAGTTAGTTGAAATCCAAAGCTCGATGCGTTTCAACGTCGCGTATCTCTCCCGTCTTCGCCGGGAAAAACGAAAAGAGCTATTCTCTCGACAATCGCTGGGTTTTTCGATCCGATGGGATGGGCCGCTCCCGTCATCATCGGTGCAAAGATCTTTATGCAACGATTGTGGTCGATCCAATGTCAGTGGGACGACGACATTCCGGGTGAACATTTCGACCACTGGGCAACTTATCATCACCAACTACCGCATCTCGAGACGCTCAGTATTCCGCGTTGGACGACGCACGGATCTCATACTCTGCACAGCGCACTCCATGGCTTTTCCAATGCCTCAACTATGGCTTTCGCAGCCGTTGTTTACCTTCGCGTTGTTAATGTCGACGGCTCAATTAACATCTCTCTTCTCATCGCAAAATCGAAAGTGGCTCCCCTCAAGACGATAAGCGTTCCCCGATTGGAATTGTCGGCGGCGCTCCTTCTCGCTCGGTTAGTTAATTATGTGCGGTCCGCTCTTCAACTTCCGAGTATCGAATGTCACTGTTGGACCGACTCAACCATCACACTCGCTTGGCTAAGTCAGTCTCCATCTCGATGGAAAATTTTCGTTGCCAATCGCGTTTCGATCATTCAGTCCTTGCTGCCTGAAGTTTCTTGGCGTCATGTTCCAACGCAGGACAATCCTGCCGATTGTGCTTCTCGCGGTCTAGCTCCCCATGCTCTCGCAAATTATAATTTATGGTGGTCAGGTCCTTCATGGCTTTGCCAATCTCCAGAATCCTGGCCGACTTGCGAGCTCTCGATACCAGCCGAGACCGCCCTTGAACATCGTTCTCAACCACCTATTCATTCTTTACATGTAACCCCTAGTTGGGATCTCGCATCACGTTATTCTTCGTGGCCTCGATTGCTCCGAATTACCGCTTATCTTTACCGTTTTCTTTATCGACTCCGATCCTCTAAAAGCGCATCGTCTTCACAAGCGATCCTCCATCCCGAAGAGATCCAGAAAGCCAAACATTACTGGCTCCGAGTTATGCAATCCGAGATGTTTTCCGTTGAAATCTCGACTTTACAACGGCAACTTCCGTTACAAAAAACTAGTTCCTTATCCACACTCAATCCTTATTTGGACGCTGACGGATTTCTTCGCATCAGAGGACGGCTCCGTCATGCTTGCCTTTCAGAAACGACGAAGAATCCGCTCGTATTACGAGCACATCCATTGCTAGTTCTTATTATTCAGCATCATGATCTCAGAACGTTACATGCTGGTCCCCAATTAACACTCGCTTCATTACGTAATGAATTTTGGATCCTCCGATCTCGCGCTACCGTTCGTGCTGTTTTGTATCAGTGCGTACAATGCACTTGTGAGCGCGCTAAAAAACCTGTCGAACTCATGGGCGATCTACCGGAGGCGAGAGTTAACCGTGCCGCTCGCGCATTTATACATACTGGCGTTGATTACGCTGGACCAATCACTGTCCGAACCGCGCCCGGCCGAGGACACAAATCGCAAAAGGCTTACATTGCGCTGTTCATATGTTTAACGACCAAGGCTATGCATTTAGAACTTGTTTCCGATTACAGCTCGCCGACCTTTATTGCAGCGTACCAGCGATTTGTCTCCCGCCGAGGACTACCGCAGTCCATGTACTCAGACAACGGTACAACATTTCATGGCGCTAATCGAGAATTATCCGAAGCTCACGCGAAAGCAATTCGCGATCCAAGCTTTCGTAATCGTCTCGCTAGCGATGGAACCGCGTGGCAGTTCCTACCCCCGGCCGCACCACATTTCGGCGGACTGTGGGAAGCCGGTGTCAAGAGCGTCAAATACCACATAAAGCGTTGCATCGGCCTCCATACATTAACTTTTAAAGAAATGACCACGTTTCTTTGTCGCATTGAAGCTTGCTTAAACTCTCGTCCGATCGCTCCCGTCTCCGATATGTATCTAAGTGGTCACCCACACAGCAAAATTGATCCCGGGATCATCTTAATATTGTCCAATTTCTGTCTCGGCAGGACAAGACGTCTTATGACTGTCCATAAGAGCTATCAGTAAGACTTTGATCTACTCAAGATTAATATAGGATGATTTGAGGATGTCCTGTTATTACAGTGCATAGACGAGCAAAGCGCACTCTCTATAAGACATCCCATAGATATCTCCATCGACAAATTCGGAAGTAAAATCATATCTTATAGACGTCTTGTTACTTCTTTCTTTTCGCATATTTTTCAGAGACGTCTAATGGCTGACCATAAAAGAAACCAGTAAGACTTCGATCTATCCAAGGTTAATGTAGGATGATTTGAGGATATCCTGTCATAACAGTGCATAGACGAGCAAAGCGCACTCTCTATAAGACATCCTATAGATATCTCCATCGACAATTTCGGAAGTAAAATCATATCTTTTAGACATCTTGTTACTCCTTTCTTTTCACATATTTTTCAGACGTCTTATGGCTGTCCATAAGAGAAACCAGTAAGACTTCGATCTATCCAAGGTTAATGTAGGATGATTTGAGGATATCCTGTCATAACAGTGCATAGACGAGCAAAGCGCACTCTCTATAAGACATCCTATAGATATCTCCATCGACAATTTCGGAAGTAAAATCATATCTTTTAGACGTCTTGTTACTCCTTTCTTTTCACATATTTTTCAGACGTCTTATGGCTGTCCATAAGAGAAACCAGTAAGACTTCGATCTATCCAAGGTTAATGTAGGATGATTTGAGGATATCCTGTCATAACAGTGCATAGACGAGCAAAGCGCACTCTCTATAAAACATCTTATAGATATCTCCATCGACAATTTCGGAAGTAAAATCATATCTTTTAGACGTCTTGTTACTCCTTTCTTTTCACATATTTTTCAGACGTCTTATGGCTGTCCATAAGAGAAACCAGTAAGACTTCGATCTATCCAAGGTTAATGTAGGATGATTTGAGGATATCCTGTCATAACAGTGCATAGACGAGCAAAGCGCACTCTCTATAAGACATCCCATAGATATCTCCATCGACAAATTCGGAAGTAAAATCATATCTTATAGACGTCTTGTTACTCCTTTTTTTCACATATTTTTCTGACGTCTTATGGCTGTCCATAAGAGAAACCAGTAAGACTTCGATCTATCCAAGGTTAATGTAGGATAATTTGAGGATATCCTGTCATAACAGTGCATAGACGAGCAAAGCGCACTCTCTATAAGACATCCTATAGATATCTCTATCGACAATTTCGGAAGTAAAACCATATCTTTTAGACGTCTTGTTACTCCTTTCTTTTCACATATTTTTCAGACGTCTTATGGCTGTCCATAAGAGAAACCAGTAAGACTTCGATCTATCCAAGGTTAATGTAGGATGGTTTGAGGATACCCTGTCATAACAGTGCATAGACGAGCAAAGCGCACTCTCTATAAGACATCCCATAGATATCTCCATCGACAATTTCGGAAGTAAAACCATATCTTTTAGACGTCTTGTTACTCCTTTCTTTTCACATATTTTTCAGACGTCTTATGGCTGTCCATAAGAGAAACCAGTAAGACTTCGATCTATCCAAGGTTAATGTAGGATGATTTGAGGATATCCTGTCATAACAGTGCATAGACGAGCAAAGCGCACTCTCTATAAGACATCCCATAGATCTCTCCATCGACAAATTCGGAAGTAAAATCATATCTTATAGACGTCTTGTTACTCCTTTTTTTCACATATTTTTCTGACGTCTAATGGCTGTCCATAAGAGAAACCAATAAGACTTTGATCTATCCAAGGTTAATGTAGGATGATTTGAGGATATCCTGTCATAACAGTGCATAGACGAGCAAAGCGCACTCTCTATAAGAGATCCCATAGATATCTCCATCGACAATTTCGGAAGTAAAATCATATCTTATTGACGTCTCGTTACTCCTTTTTTTCACATATTTTTTTTGACGTCTTATGGCTGTCCATAAGAGATACCAGTAATACTTTAATCTATCTAAGGTTAATGTAAAATGATTTGAGGATATTCTGTCATAACAATGCATAGACGAGTAAAGCGCATTCTTTAAAAAACGTCCCATAGATGTACCAATCGACAAATTCAAAAGCAAAATCATCTCTCTTAGACGTCTCGTTACTTTTTCCCTTTCACATATTTTTTAGACGTCTTATAGCTGTCCATAAGAGATACCAGTAAGACTTTGATCTATTCAACGTTAATATAAGACGACTTATGATTTAAGAATATTCTGTCATAATAGTGCATGGACGATGAAATCGCTTTCTATAAGATATTTTATAGATATATTAATGAACAAGTTTGAAAAGAAAATTATATTTTAAGGAGGTTCTACAATGCGTTGCCAATGTTCAGTTGCCAGTTGCAATAGCCGCGAAACCTAATTATGGACGTCGACTTAACTTGATGCTAATTAGATCATACGATAAAGTCATAAGACGTCTAAGAAATATGTGAACAAGAAAAAGTAAGAGTATCATTACATACGGCATAACTTGCGCTGACCAATCGCATCGTATCATTTTAATATAAGCGGAAAGTAATATTTAAATGAGACGATGTGATTAAATTGGTCGGCGCAAGTTACGCTTACGCAAATTACGCCGCATGTGACGGCACCCTAACGAGACGTTTATGAAAGATAATATTGCTTTCAAATTTGTCCATTAATATATCTATAAAATATATTAAGTTATTTTTACAATGGCAGTAAGCGGTATAGAGTAATAAGTAAGAAATAAGTAAGAATCATATATCTTATTATTTCTTATATTCCTTACCTGTATTGCTTATATTGTTATTGTAAAATGGGCTTATTATAGAAAGTGCGATTTGATCGCCTATGCATTTTTGACAAGATATTCTCAATGACAAGATACTCATCATCCTGTATTAACTTTTGAGCAGATCAAGGTGTCTTACTGATATATCTTGTAGACAGCCATAAGACGTCTAAACCATATAATAAGTATTAAATATAATATTTTATAATATTTTATAAAAAAGAAACATTTTTAGTAATATCATCTTTTTGACTCGACTCAGTTATCGAATTTAAGTCCTTGTCCTCTCACCTCTCACCTATTTTTATTTGTTATTATTTATATTATTTTGAAGTGAATGGGATGAAATTGGTACGACTAATATTACGAATATATATATTTAAGAAAAAAAATTCTATTCATATAAGTCTATGGCTAGCACCGAGATAACACGGACACGGGTGCTTGCCGTAGGCTGCGTTCGGGGAGACGCTATTAGCGCTGATAGCATCATTTTATCTTTGTCACTCACTAAAAATTAAATGAAGATAGACCGACGCTGTTTAGCGTCTCCGAAAGCATTCGTAGTATGCGCTGGCGTCGGCGCTGGCGCTGACGCTGACGCAGGCGCCGGCGCCAGCGCGGTCGCGCCATTTCTTCTAGCAGTGTGTTGTTCATCTTCCGATCTCGTGTTCACTTGTTTTTACGAATACATGGTGGACGGTTCGTACAGATTTTGTAAGTGATCGACGATATTATTTGTGCATAGTGGAGAGTGAAGAAAAAACTTGGCTATTATTATAATAGCTTATTCACGTTGAATTGAGGTAAGTCATTGTGAAAAAAATACGTATTTTCTCTTACCATGTTTACGTTCCACAACTCAACAAAGAAAATTTTATGCAATAATATACGTTACTCTCTCTTGCATTGCATTGAAAAAAATTATCTTGGAGAGTACGTTTTGGAACGTAACCCCAAATAATACATATAATTATCTATTATATTATACATGTATAAAAATATTTTTGTGGTATATTAAATGCGTAACTCTAATCGAAAACCGTGGAAATATTTTATGCCACGTGTTATGCATGTCTTCAAGACGTATTAAAGACGGCTCTAATACGTCTGTAAGACATGCATAACACGTGGCAAATATTTTCACGGTTTTTGATTAGAGTTACGCATGTTGTGTGGATTGATATTATGGAAGAAATGCGTTTTTATGGATCAGTCAATCGCTAAATTAATTAATTTTTGTGCGGCCGACGAAAATCCAGTTTTTTTATTTATTTAATTATATTATTCTTTTATAGGAATAATCCTCGTGCCACGTGTCTACATAACCTTTATTTTAACCGCGGAATATTGGATATTTCCCGGTTTAATACGACGATTAGTGAGAAAGAGGATAAATATAAAAAGTCTCTGCTCATCAATATCAGCGATAGTTATATAGAAAATCGAGGTATGTACAATTAACAAAAACTTAAAACTATTTTCTATCTTCACACTATATACAGAGAAAAATTACACTATTTGCCAAAAAATGTGATTACTCAGTTTATGGGCCAGTCAATCGCTAAATTAATTAATTTTTGTACGGCTGACGAAAATCCAGTTTTTTTATTTATTTAATTATATTATTCTTTTATAGGAATAATCCTCGTACCACGTGTCTACATAACCTTTATTTTAACCGCGGAATATTGGATTTTTCCCGGTTTAATACGACGATTAGTGAGAAAAAGGATAAATACAAAAAGTCTCTGCTCATCAATATCAGCGATAGTTATATAGAAAATCGAGGTATGTACAATTAAAGAAAACTTAAATCTATTTTCTATCTTCACACTATATACAGAGAAAAATTACACTATTTGCCAAGAAATGTGATTACTCAGTTTAATATCATTCTTATAAATAATTCTTTTAAATAATAGTTTTCTTTAACTCTTTATTAGCAATATTTGTCCTTTATTATCAATTTTTTCCTATTTTCCTTAACGTTATTAGCTAACCTTAGCATAAAAGTATATAAAAAATAGCAAAAAACAAATTAATAAATATTATAATAAATAAAAAATAGAAGTATTAGTAATATGGAATAGTATATTAAAATAATTACTTATTTGTACATTGCGTTTAACAGAGGGTTAACAAAAATTTAATCTTGACAATAGCTTTAAAATTGTTACAAATAGAAATTTTTATTATCACTTTAAAGAATTTATTTTCTTTTCAAAAATAATAAAAAAAATCAAATTTACTTAACGTACTAAGACATCCAAATATTTTTGTTTCAATTTAATATTTTTGATAAAAATACTACGCTTAATAGAATTCAGAATATATTATGAATTTTAATGCTTGTGATGAATTTGTGATATACTTGTGGATATAAAAACTTATGATATATTTGAAACAAGTAATATTTATTTGAATATTGTTCTCTGTATTATATTATGATTTTTGTATAATTGACTGTTTTCTAATATGCGTATATGTATATATTATTTTGCTTTCAAATATATGTATATATTATCTATTTTTATGAAAATTCACACAGTATGCATATCCAAAAGATGTTCAGAAAATCCCAAAGATATATGTGAGCCACATAAAATCTTTGAAAGGTCCTTTAAATGTCTTTTAAATACGCACATTATATGACAAAGACTCATTAAAATTGCAAAAATTTTAAACTATTTTTAAAAACAAAACAAATCTTGTTAATATATATTACAACACGGAAAATATTTTATAATAAAAATTATTATGGTGTGCAGTAGTTGGGGACCATCAGGACTATTTTTAAAGTAAAGTGCTTTTTAAAACTAAAAATTACCTTAATTTATGCAATTTTTACAGCTTTACATAGCCCTTAAAAAATAATCTTGATGATTTTTGCAGCTACATATATCATAGCAGTTTTTACTAAGAAATTTTTTTCATGTATATATGAAATATTCTATGTCAAGTGAAACACACACACACATTTTTATGCATGTTGTGTGGGTTGGTATTATAAAAGAAATACATTTTTATGGGCCAGTTAATCATTGAATTATAATTAATTTTTGTACGACTAACAAAAATCCAATTACTTTATTTGTTTAATTACATTGATCTTTATAGGAAATATTCTCGTGCCCCGTGTGTGCATAACCTTGACCTTAACAGATCGCGGAATATTGAAGTTTTCCCGGTTTAATACGACGATTAGTGAGAAAGAGGATATATATAAGAGTGTCTCTGCTCATCGATATCAACGATTGTTATACAGAAAATCGAGGTATGTTTAATTAAGAAAAAATTTTTAAATTATGTACACGTTTGTCAAAAAAAATGCTTATTAAAAATATATGAAAGAGTTATTTGACTCAAATATGACATAGAGTTTATAGATAATTTAAAAAATATATTTTTTTTATGTTTGTATATTTTTGTATTCCAATTTGACATAGAATGTCAAATAATGTATCATATACTATTAATATACAATGTAATTTGTGAAAAACTTATTATTGATAAATTCTTGAGATCATTTGGAGACAACTTTTTCTCAGCGAAAAGAAATGTCGAGATATTAATTTCAGATTTATAAGCGAAGAAAGGTGTTTTTCGCAAAGTTAACTTTTTGGACTCAAAATATTATCAAAACTATATTTTTTCATTAATTTTAAATAGAGTTTACTATATAATTTAAAGCTTAATTACAAACATATTTGATGACAAAATTGGAAATTTATAAAAAATGATGATGTCGCTCGACATTTTCGTTGAAGAAAAATCGTTTCCGAATGATTTCAAGAATCTGCCATTAACAGGTTTTTCATCAATTAAAAGACACCCTGTATAACAAGGCTATTTCTTTTTGTAAAAATAGGTTAAAATCTTGTAATATTAATGGAAATTATCTTTTTCTCATACAACATATGTATCTAAAAGATATTCTGAAGGTATATATATATATATACGATAAACTTCTGACTTCTAAACTGGTTAACTTATTTTTTTAAGTTATAACAATTTTAATTTTTGCAACGTGTCGCATATTAAGCATTATGCACATCAAAAAGATGGTTAGAAGACATCTCGAAGAGTTCTTGGGATGATAGGACTCGAAACGTTTTCCGAACATCTCCAGATGTATATACATGCTGTTTGATATTAAAATTGTTTACATAAAATTTGTTACGCATGTTTTCTATAAATATTTTTGAAGTCTATATATTCTGTATATTTATATTTGAGTCAAATCTGAAATAAGCATAACTTTTAATAATCATCTTTTACGCTTGTCTGTAATTTTTTTATTGATGTGTGTATATGTAGTATGTATGTATGTATGTATGTATGTATATATATGTATATATATATATATATATATATGTGTGTGTGTGTGTGTGTATACAGATTTTCCATAAAGTCTCGCCTTACCTCTATATTTCGGAAACGGCTCAAAATTTGGAAAAATTACAAAACATGTGTTCGATTGTTTCAAGGGACTACTTTTTTAAGGAGGTCGGAGAAGTCGCTAAGTTCGTGTTAAAAACTATATTTTTAAAATCTTACAAAAAATAATGATATCTAAAAATTGCGCTACATAAAAATAAAAATTTTTAAATATATTAATATAAATTAAACAACAATTTAACAATTGTAATTAAATTAAACAACAATTTAAGTTTTAATTGTAATTTTAATTGAAATTTAGCAAGTGCTAAATTTTTTAAATAAATCTTTTAATTGTTTTGTCGCAAGTTTTAATATCATTAAGTTTTAATATTGTAATTTTTTAAATATTATTATTTTTGTAGGAAATTAAAACAACTATTTTGTGCAACATTTTTAAATTAAAATATTTTTATAAATTTTTATTTTTGCTTAGTGCAATTTTTAGATATTACTTTTTGTAAGATTTTAAAGATATAGTTTTTAACGCAAATTTAACACCTTTTTTACTTTTTTGACTTTTTAAAAAAAAATAGTATTTTTTAAGAGTTTTCTTTACACTAACTGATTTCTTTTATTATTCTGAAAAAAAATATGAAGATAAGATTGTCGAAAAATAAATATTTTACAAGATATTTTATATTTATGTCAAAATACTGCAACTTTCAAGCTTTATAATTCAAAATATTTTTAATAAAAAAATAATTTATTATAGTATTTTCAAAAGCTTTTAAGACAAGCTATAAAAATATGCAATAAAAAATAGAGGGTCCCATTTAAAATTTTAAAGTTAGGGAACTAATCTCCTTTGTACTCCTTGGAGAGCCCCTTTGAGCGACTTCTCCAATCTCCTTAAAAAAGTAGCCTTTGAAATGATCGAACACGTGTTTTGTGATTTTTCTAAATTTTGAGCCGTTTCCTTTCTTACTTTTATATATATATATACGTGCGAATTGTCACACTCGGCTTCGCCTCGTGCGCCAAACTTTTGCACTCTCGGCCGATTCACGATCCGTACATTAGTAAGAAATTTCAATAAATAGAAATCGATCGAACACGAAATACCCATGTGTGTATCGAAAAGGTTAAAAATATGTTACAATTCTTGAAAAGGAAAATGCTTTTTTTTATCGAACAGTGTAATTTGACTTAGTTACATTTGTAAAAAATAAAATATTTCCTACAGATGGAATCACGTAAACGAAAAAGTAATTTTGAAATTTGTAACCGACAACGACGTCGGCGTGCCGTTGAAATCTTTCGACAGTGGGAAGATAAATTTGAATCCATTAATGAATCCATTGAACCCACTAATGCATCTATTAATCCATCGATTGAATCTACTGATTTATCGACTGAACTTGCGAATACACCAACAGATTTGCTTCTTACGCAAAATTTGGTTTTCAACTCATTACCAGAAAACATTGAAATAAATGCAAATAATTCGCCTGATACTAAAACCTCGTCCGATGAAGGCTATATTTTTACGCAAGATAAAAATAATTTTTTTTCAATGGACACTTATCCAAGCAGCGACGACAATATTGATATTGATCGAAACGTAACTTCCATTGTTGAAGTTCCTGTGATAGATGAAGCATCGGTGGACAGTTCTCAGAATATGGATTATATGAAAGCAAAACTGGGAGAATGGGCTGTTACTGAAAAAATTTCGCATAACAGCTTGAAAAAATTGCTTACCGTATTAAAATCAGTCCCAAGCTTATCCACAGTATTACCATGCGACTCTCGTACTTTATTGCAGACTGCAAAACAGACCGATATTCGAGAGGTCTTTCCTGGAGAGTATCACCATTTTGGGCTTGCTTCGAGTATTCGGGACTCTTGTAATAGAATTGAAAATTTCACTATTGACGAAATAGCTATTGCTATAAACATTGATGGAGTCCCCTTGTTTAATTCTTCTACGGCAGCGCTTTGGCCTATTTTGGGAAATATTATACCCTACAAAGAAGTTTTTATGATTGGAGTATATTACGGACACCAAAAACCTCAAGATGCTAACATTTATTTAGACCAATTTGTTCAAGAAGCTAATGAGTTATGCAAAAATGGCATTATTATTGGAGAAAAACTGTACAAATTTTCGATTCAATTTATCATTTGCGATGCTCCTGCAAAATCGTTTATTTTATGCGTAAAAGGTTTTTCCGGATTTAATAGTTGTACGAAATGTATAACAAAAGGAAAAACAAAAAAAAATCGCAGGTGTTTTCCCAAATTAAATGCCGAAAGACGAACAGATCGGGATTTTTTAGACTATCGTGATAAGAAATATCACGAAAAGAGAACGATTCTCGATTCTATACCAGGACTGGGATTGGTATCTAATGTATAGGCGTCTGATGGGCGTGAGAGAGAGAAATAGAATGTTTCTCTCACCGTTTCGATTAGGATATCGTGTTTCAAGGGATAGGCCAAAGGTTTAATTTATTCCAACGTTAAATGATAGTATGTATATGTATAATGTGCAATTGTGAATATTACACGTCTTCACGTCGACAATTCTTCAGAGTCGTATCTTGCCGTTTTCGCCGTCGTTCGATGTTTCGAGGAAGAGAGATATGATCTGTTCTGTTCGGTTCTCTATTGTCTGTCGATTCCCAAAAAGTCGGCATATTTATACCCGGTGTTAAAACCTTCCCTACCCGAAACATCGGACCAATCAGAATTACCTTTGTTCATCGCGCAGAGATGTGTTTTCGGTTTTCTCGACAAACAAAGGATCGCTTAGAACGCTTTCAATAATAAATATTACAAATAAATAAGTACCCGGCACGAGGTCGACAAACAAAACACGTAAATCAGCTAATCTCATCGTCGGTTAACGTCTTTATAAAAAATGCCTACAGCTCGGCCATCCTGACTTTTTGACCGTCCCGGTCAACGTTATTACCAAAATTACAATACGCAATAAATAAAATTCCTTTACCAAATAATATATAATCATGCTCGAATATACGGGTGCATTTGATCCGTCGCAAATTATATCACATCTCGTTTTTTCTTTTTCGCTCCGTCAATATTTATCTGAGGTTTATCTCGCGTCGAGGTCGCGCTACGGATAATCGCTCACCTTAATTGGATCGCGTAATAGATCGCTCGCATCACCTCGCTGGTCAATTTTTTTTCACCATCGGAATTATCATTCTATTATATTTTCCACCTGTCCGTTTGCCCTCGGCGTGCCCACAGCAATTGATACGTGCTCTATAGCACCGGATCCCAAATATCTCTCAAATATGTCAGATTTGACACAAGTTCCTCTGTTCGAAATTGAACGTCTCGATTTACCATACGCGCAGAAATATTTAAAGAGATACTCTACCGATTCCTCCGATGCTGTTGACTTACGCGGGTAGAGCCGGATAAATTTAGCGAACACGTCGATGACGACAAACAGGTGACGCCCAAACTTGAAAACAGAGTTTTTTCGAATAAAATCGTACAATGATTTTGCCACCAATAAAAATCTCGGCATAGATCGATGAAAATGACTCGCGAGTCCGACGAACCTATGTACGTCCCTGATGTTACATGGCACCGGATCATTCAACGCAGACTCTATACTCTCATCGCTCGGTCGTTCGTGTTTTAATGCGATAACCCTCTCGAGATCCGGCGCGCACTTCTCCGCTCGAAGACTACTCAGACCATGAGATTCGTAGACCTCGCAGATCTTTTCGGTGGTATCTTCATCAACCGCCGGATTAATTTTCACTTTTTCGCTCGAACATACCACATTGTCGTCGCATTCAATATGCATCATTTGACTAACGCGCGCTTCTTCCGCGTTTGTAATTTCAAAATCTCGCCCTAATGTTACACGCAGCGACGGGCAATTCAAGAAATCCCTACCGAGCAAAACGCTATACGCCATCGTATTAGGAGGCACCGTATAAAATTTCATTTTCAAGCGCACGCCTTTTACCTCCAAATCGGCGTGAGCGATACCGTCAATATTTAACTGCGAGCCGTTAATTCCGCAAAACTGATCGATGCTCTCACCGGCGAGCAGACGTGAGTCGCCCCGAATTATCTCGCTTTTAATCAAACTAATTGGAGAACCCGAGTCTATTATTGCATCCACCACGTAATTATTGAACCCGTTATTCTCGTTTTCCATTATAATTTTTACGGTAATCGTATAAGGTTTTAACAACGCGACAGGTTGTACGACGTTCATCGACGCAGTTTGCGCACCATTGTTCAGCGTTTCCGACGCCGCGGACCGACTTCGCTTCGGACACTCCCTAGCCAAATGATCCGGAGATTCGCACACATAACACACTCGCTTTGCCTGTGGTCGCACGCACTGATCCGCAGTATGTCCTGCTCCGCGACACCTGTAGCACCTCGTCGAGTCTCCCCGTGTCGATGTCTCCGCTCTTCCTCCGCTAGTTGTCCTCGCTCCGTCTCCCCTCGGTCGGACGTCTGGTCTCTCTGAATGTACTCGAACCACCTTTTCGAACGCCTTCAATAATTCTCTTCTAGATTGGAAGTTCATCAGGCGCGCCTGGCTCTGCAGACGAGGATCGGTCACTCCCTCGATGATATAATCGAGGAGCTCGTCTTCCGCGATCGGTATGCGATTCGCGAGAATCACCTTCTCGTGATAATAATCACAGAACTGCTCGTCTCTCTTCCACACGCGAGCCTCAAATTCTCTCCTCAGCGTCAATTTTCCTGGTCGCAGATCGAACATTGACTCCATCTCTCGCAGAAGGTCCTCCAGGTCCAGTGTCACATGCTCGGCCCTTGAGTGAAACCAAGACAACGCACGGCCTTTCAACCGAGAGCTAATTAACACTCTCGTCGAATTATCGTCCAGCTGATACGTGCGTCTCAATAACTCCAACTGCTGCTTCCACCTCCAGAAGGTGCTATCCGTTGCGTCAAATTCAGGCAGCAGCTCCTTAATTCCCCTCACACCGCCGAACGCAGAAATGACACTGCCGTTCGTTGTCGTCGGTGTGGAGGTTGCACTTCTCATTACTTCTATTTCTCGTTGAAGTAACTGCCGCTCTCTCTCCAAAATCTCTCGTTCTCGACGCAGTAACAAGAGTTCCGCCTGCGTCGCGTCGTCGTGCTCTCTCCGTTCCGGCGTCGTCATCCTCACTCGGTCTCCTCGTCTCGGCGTATCGTCCACGGTCTCCATCTCCATGGCGTCACCCTGTTCACTGGGTGAACGCACACCTCCTGAAGCCGGGATGCCATCCGAATATCTCTCCTGCCTCCGTTGCTCGCTCAATCTCGCCCATACGCCTGAATCGTTGGCATTCAGGCGCTGGATGAGCTCGGCTTTCGACCCTCCCAAGGTCAGTCCTTTCTCGCGAAGAGCCTCCTTCATCTCAGCGATGGTGAAATCACTCGGCTGCATCGACTCCGCCACCGTCCCTCAGATCTGCTCGATCGGTTCCTCGGGCACTCCGCGATGTCCCCGACACTCGCGCAACCCAAAGATCACTATGCGTTGATCGTCTCAACCCGCGCGTCCCACACTCGACGCGTATCGCGAACTCCCGAATCGCCTCTCTCAGGCCGAATTCGCGAAACCGGGTGCAACGCCTCGATCCCACTTCTGATTTACTATAGGCGTCTGATGGGCGTGAGAGAGAGAAATAGAATGTTTCTCTCACCGTTTCGATTAGGATATCGTGTTTCAAGGGATAGGCCAAAGGTTTAATTTATTCCAACGTTAAATGATAGTATGTATATGTATAATGTGCAATTGTGAATATTACACGTCTTCACGTCGACAATTCTTCAGAGTCGTATCTTGCCGTTTTCGCCGTCGTTCGATGTTTCGAGGAAGAGAGATATGATCTGTTCTGTTCGGTTCTCTATTGTCTGTCGATTCCCAAAAAGTCGGCATATTTATACCCGGTGTTAAAACCTTCCCTACCCGAAACATCGGACCAATCAGAATTACCTTTGTTCATCGCGCAGAGATGTGTTTTCGGTTTTCTCGACAAACAAAGGATCGCTTAGAACGCTTTCAATAATAAATATTACAAATAAATAAGTACCCGGCACGAGGTCGACAAACAAAACACGTAAATCAGCTAATCTCATCGTCGGTTAACGTCTTTATAAAAAATGCCTACAAATGTAACTTTAGATTACATGCATCTAATACTGTTAGGCGTCGTTAAAAAAATGATAACATTATGGATTCACGGCGAAAATACCTATAGACTCGGTCGTCTACAAATTCTTAAAATCTCGAAACGACTTGAAAGTGATATGAAACCATTTGTTTCAAAAGAATTCGGTCGAAGACCTCAAAGCTTGGAGTTTTTAAAGCTATGGAAAGCTACTGAATTTCGGCAATTCCTTCTTTATACGGGGCCAATTGTTTTAAGAAAGATCTTGCCAAAGGCAATGTACAATCACTTTATGACGCTTCATGTTTTAATCAGAATATTATGTGACGTGGAACGGCATCAGAATAAACTGAACTACGCAGAAAGTCTTGCTAAACATTTTATCAAGTCATTCGCTAAAATATACGGCGTGCATCATGTAACGCACAATGTTCATGGCATTATTCACCTCGTAGAAGATGCAAAGTTACATGGATCTATAGAGAAGTTTAGTGCATTTAAATTTGAGAATTTCATGCAGATACTGAAAAATATGATACGTAAACCAGAGAAACCACTGCAGCAAATAGCTCGGCGCTATGGAGAAATAAAAAGTGCATGTTTGAATTACAATAAAAGCACAAACGATGATTTAGAACTTGTTACAACTTCTCTTCATGTCAAAGGTCCTCTGCCTGAGAATTGCATTAATCCACAGTATAAAGTTATAAAATCATCAAATTTCACTATCAAGACTACTGGAAATACTGATAATTGCTGCATTCTGAAAAATGGTGACATATTTGAGATTCAAAATATAGCTTCCTGTCGTGAAACCCAAGAATTGATGATAATAGGCCGACAGCTTATTTCTAAGGAAGATTTTTTCAAGATTCCATGCTCATCATCATTGCTGGATATATATAAAGTTCAATATACACGCAGCGAGACATTATCTATACGACCACTCAGTGATGTTGTCAACAAATATGTAAAACTCCCACACAAATCAGGATTTGTCGTTTTCCCATTTTTACATACTGATAATTAAATTTTAAATACTGACTTATAAGCCAGTGCTGGGATTTACTTGCACATTTTGGCCAGATCTTGTGATTTACACCTATTTGCTTCTTACTCGTCGCTCGCACGATATTGAGTCGGCGATAAGAAGACGTCTTCTTACATACGGACGTTCATGAAACGAAGTGTCACGTTTCTTACCCAGATAGCCACAGTAATTATTATGACAAACAAATCTACTAAAACAAAACATTTGTAATTATATCCTTTTTTCTAAACTATATTTTTATTGTTTTTATAGATGAGAATTGTAGCAGAACAGTTTTACGAGCAATGGCTAACATTGATTTGAAGATAGACACATTAATTGCTGAAATGCGTAATGTAACAAAATTGATGACGACAAAAACGACGGACAAAGAAATCGAAAATACTGAAAGTCAAACTTTGAAGGCCTATCCTATATTAACGGAAGATGATTTAATAAAAGAAGAACGACGTTTATCGACTGACATACTTCATAAAAACAACTTAGTAAGTATATATATTTGTGTTGTGCATACTTTATTTTGTTAACATCACAAAAGTCTTGTATCATTTAGTTGAGCTCAGGATTAGGTAGGTTAATTAATTTTGTTAACTAAGTTAAGTTGAAAATTAATAGACCATAAATTAAATATGTTAACGTTAAAAGTCGAAACAAGAACTAACTCAGTTAAAAGTTAAGTTAAAAAATTAAAAATTAAAGTTAAAAAGTTAACCCCTTAATTATATAAAATTATCTTTTTTGCATAATTAATAAGTTATTAAAATTAATAAAACTTTTATTTAAAATATATAAAATTTTTTTATAATTTATACAAAAATGAAATTTTTACAAATATGAAACAGGCGTCCGAGAAATACGCGGTTAGTGGTGCGTTAAAATGTAGAAATTTAAGATTTTTATTACTTATAATACCAAGAGGCAAACAAACTAAGTGATTAAACTAATTTTTAAACGCGGTTTGAACGCATTCCTTTTAGATAAACATGATTTAATAAACGCGGAACCCTCTTTATCCCCTATGAATTGATAGACGAGCCAAGAATTTATTTATTTAATTTGTGCATATTTATTTATTATATTATTAAAATTTATTATTATTTATTAAATATATTATTATTAATTAATTTATAAATAATTTAAATTTAAAATTAATACATTATAAATTAAATATATAACGAAAAGTAAAAACAAGAAATAACCGCAAATAAAATTTTTATTAAAAATTTAAAATTAAATTAAAAATAACTTAATTATTTAAAATTTTTTTTTCTTAATTATTTATTTAATTTACTTTTATTAAAATTGAATACAAATATTTTTTATAATTATAATCAATATGACTTTAATATTAATAAATTATTTATTAACTATATAGTATAAACAAATTAATAAAACGTTAAAATTAACTAAGTGTAAAGTTTTTATTAAAATTAAATTAACGTGTAAAAAATTACAAATATTACTTGTTAAATTTAACTAGTTACTACTCAACCCCCTATTGAGCCCTATATACGTATAAATAAAAAAATAAAACTGATGCAAGTAAAAATATTCAGGAAATCTTGAAACTTTTTAAACAAAACCAAAATAATGATACAGTTTCATAACTGAAATATATTATTTGCATTTACACAAATTTATTAATGCAAATTTTTTTTAATTTTATTATTATTAAATTTACAAAAAATTAAAAATTTGTAAATGAACCAAATACATTAAAAATATATAAGAAATACACAAAGAAATATAAAATACAAAAAAGATAGACCGCAAATAAAATTTTACAAAATTTAAAATACTTATTAAAAATAAATTATAATTCAAGTTGAGTTTGTCATTTTTTTTTTAAGGTTTAATAATTTTTATCTAATTACATATAAATTGACATAAAATATTTTTATGCATTACAATTATTATTTTTATATGACTTTAATATTAATAAATTAATTATAACTTATAGTTTAAAAAGTTTAATAAAAAACTTAAAATTAACTAAGTGTAAAGTTTTTGCAAAAGTTAAGTATTGTAGTAAAAATTATTTCCTTTTTTAATTGTTAAATTTAACTATACTACTTTTCTTGATCTATTAGGAAGTTGGTACACTTTTATAAAATATAATAAAGCGATTTATTCTGATACAAATATATTATCAATTTTATATTATATTAACTGTGCACATATATATATATATATATTAAATTAAGGAATATAATAGATATTATATCCAATTAAAAGTCACCGTTAAATGTAAAACAGAATAATCTGAACATTATTCGAATTTCATTTAACGGAGTCAAAATAAATGCATTAAATATATGATAATTTCATGATGTCATATAAAATATAAGTATTAGACATATATAAAACATGAATAAATCAAAATAAATATTAAACATATATATATCAAGACGTCAAATCAAAATAAGTATTAAATAATTTAAATCAAGACGTCAAACCCATAAGTTTTAAACACTAAAAAAGCAAGGCGTCAAATCAAACACAGTATTAAAATATATAAATCAAGACGTCAAATCAAACTGAGAATTAAACTATATAATCAAGACGTAATAAACATAGTATTAAACATATAAATAAGACGTAAGCAAACATAAGTATTAAACACATATAAATCAAGACGTCAATCATAACATATGTATTAAACACATATAAATCAAGACGTCAAATCAAAACATAGTATTAAACAATATAAATCAAGTACGTCAAAAAACATAAGTATTAAACATATATAAATCAAGACGTCAAATCAAACATAAGTATTAAACACATATAAATCAAGACGTCAAGCCAAAATAAGTCTTGGTGAGATCAACAACCATAAGTGACGTTAGTATTTATAAACATATAAAATTAGTACGTTAAACCAACAAAAGGTATCGTAGCAGCGAATAGATTCAATACGTTAAATAGATGTGAATGACTTTAGTATCCTGGCTAGGCCAATCTTAATAGAATCCTGGCTAGGCCAGCTTGAAAGAATCCTGGCTAGGCCAGTCTTAATAGAATCCTGGCTAGGCCAGTCTTAAAAGAATCCTGGCTAGGCCAGTCTTAATAGAATCCTGGCTAAGCCAGTCTTGAAAGAATCCTGGCTAGGCCAGTCTTAATAGAATCCTGGCTAGGCCAGTCTTAAAAGAATCCTGGCTAGGCCAGTCTTAATAGAATCCTGGCTAAGCCAGTCTTGAAAGAATCCTGGCTAGGCCAGTCTTAATAGAATTCTGGCTAGGCCAGTCTTGAAAGAATCCTGGCTAGGCCAGTCTTAATAGAATCCTGGCTAGGCCAGTCGTGAAAGAATCCTGGCTAGGCCAGTCTTAATAGAATCCTGGCTAGGCCAGTCTTGAAAGAATCCTGGCTAGGCCAGTCTTAATAGAATCCTGGCTAGGCCAGTCTTGAGAGACTTGTTACCTTGTCGAATCCTTTTAATTAAGAATAAACGGCTCTTTTTCTTTCCTCATCAGGCGAACTCAAGGGAATTTGTCCTCCAAACCAAGAGATATGTCCCATCTCATAGTTAACCTTAAAAGGTTCCAAAGCGTCCAAGCTCGTAGTTTTCCAAAAGAATTATATATTCAAATCAATCTCTCCTCAATGTCTGAACCGAACGGAAACCTTTTTATCACTGAACTTAAGCGTCTCCACGGACAGTAGAGAATCGACCAACAAGGATTCCTAAGCAACGATTCACGTTTGTTTTTTTTTTCAAGAGAGGATCGCGAACAGAAGCCGACTCGGCTTAGCGGGACGACGAAGGAAGAGGCTAGCGCCTCAAGCGTTCGTCTTAGGCACTAACGGCCTCTCGTAGCGCCTCTTCTTCCGGCGCGCTACGCGTCACTCGCGGAGGCGAATAAGACGCGAGAATTCAAACGTCAGAGAGTTTCCCAAACATTACCGCCCGCCTTCGTTAACTCGGCTTAACGAACCAACAAAGGATCTTGGTGTATGGGCAATGGGCAGAGTTTGACGACGGGTCGTTTCAACATGGTAGTTTGAGTCTTTACCGTGACTACTCGAGTAAGGCCGTCTTTTCCGGGATGTGTGTCAACGATCCGACCTAGAGGCCATTTGGAAGGTGGATACCTTTCGTCGACTACTAGTACCATATCTCCGTTCTTCAAAGAGGGTGTCGGATGACTCCATTTAGAGGTGTCGTGAAACCGTTGAAGACATTCTTTAGACCATCGGGACCAGAAACTTTCCAGCATTTGTCGTAACAATTGCCATCTGGATAGGCGTGACAAATTAATGTGTTCAAGCGAAGGCTCTGGTAGAACTGTAGGTGCGTGTCCTAGGATGAAATGTCCAGGTGTTAATGCGGCTAAGTCTTCTGGATCGTCAGAAAGAGGAGACAAAGGTCTTGAGTTCAGAACCGCTTCGATCTGAGTTAAAAGTGTTGTCATTTCCTCGAAGGTAAGCAAGTGATTACCAAGGACTCTCTTTAAGTGGAACTTAACCGATTTCACGGCTGCTTCCCACTTGCCGCCAAAGTGAGGAGCACTAGGCGGGTTGAAATTCCATTGTGTTCCGTCTTGGGTGAGTAGGGAGGCCAATTGTTTATGTTCTTGAGATGCTTCAGAGAGTAATTTCTTTAGCTCCGTGTCAGCTCCTATCAAATTAGTACCGCAATCACTGAACAAGTTAACGCAGATTCCTCGTCGAGCAGTAAACCTTTTATATGCTGCTATAAAGGCGTCAGCGGAATAATCTGAAACAAGTTCGAGGTGTGTTGCTGATGTGGCAAAACAAACGAATACGGCAATGTAAGCTTTGTACTGCCGCGCATTTTTTCCTCTCCAGGTCTTGATGAGAAGGGGGCCAGCGTAGTCAATTCCGGTGTTGATGAATGGGCGTGAAGTCGGTGTTACTCGTTCAGGCGGAAGCTGTCCCATGAGCTGTTGCGCTCTCTTTTGTCTGTATCTTGTGCAAATGACGCAACGCAGGATAAAATTTTTTATCGGCAACCGACCTCCAATGATCCAGTAAGAATCTCGCAGGAGGGTTAACGTTACTTGTGTACCTCCGTGGCAAGTTCTCAGATGAGCATCTTGGATAATGAGCTCCGTTAATGGCGATTGCTTTGGGAGGATTAGAAGATGTTTCCTTTCTGGAGGTAACGTTGAATTCTGAAGCCGACCACCCGTTCTTAAGAGCCCGGATGCGTCAATGTATGAAGTCAATTTGGTGAGTGGGTTCGACTTAGGAAGGAACTCTCCTCGTGATAAAAGCTTGATTTCATGAGCGAAGTGTTGCCGTTGAATGCTGTTGATCCAATAGAGTTTAGCGGACTCTAATTCAGTCGTGCTGAGGAGTTCTCTTGGACTAATTTTGATCCGTTTAAATCGTTCAACTGCTCTCTGACACACAGCCGTAATGCGTAAGAGCTTATTGAGATTGGAATATCTTGTTAACAAATCCCATGGGGGTTGCGGTTCAATGGTTATGAGTGAATAAACTTTGGTGGGTCTTTCTTCAAGATTATCCGAGGTAGCAGTTGAAGGGAAGCAATCTGGCCAACAATCAATCGATTGTGAAAGCCAACATGGTCCTTTCCACCAGATGGTTTGGGACGCGAGTTTTGATGGCGACAAACCTCTGGTGGCGAAATCAGCTGGGTTCTCCTTGCCGGGAACGAATTTCCACTTAGCTTGAGGTAGTGTTTCTTGTATTTGAACTACACGATTTTGAATAAAATCTTTCCATCGGGATGGATGGTTCTGAATCCAGGTTAGAGTGATGGATGAGTCCGTCCACAAGTAAATAGGAACGTCCTTCAAGTTGAGAACATCACGGACGTGCGTGGTTAGTTTGGTGAGAAGTACTGCTCCTGATAGTTCTAATCTGGGAATGGTAAGACGCTTCAAAGGCGCTACCTTCGTTTTAGTGGCAATTAGGCAAACGTTAATCTGGTCTTCAAGGTTCACGGTTCGGAGGTAGATTACTGCTGCGAAAGCTTGATTAGATGCATCGCAAAATCCGTGTAATTGAACTTGATTATCCGATTTGATGCCAAGCCAACGAGGAATATTGATGAATTTGAGGTCTTCTAATTCCTCAACGAAAGTTATCCACTGATTTGCCAAAGTGCTTGGTAACAACGCATCCCAATCGAGTTTGTTGATCCACAATTCTTGAATAAGTATTTTGGCTTTGATGATTACAGGTGAGAGTAGTCCAAGCGGATCGAAGAGCTTAGCAATCGTGGATAATATCGTTCGTTTGGTGATAGTGGCCGTAGAAGGTCGATCTAGACTAAATTGAAAGTAGTCGGCAGTAGGCTTCCACTGTAGACCAAGTACTGCTACACAGGAGTCCAAATCAAAAGGTATTGGATCCGGATTTCTCAACCGTTCTGGTGGTAGATGATGGAGTACATGAGCGTGATTACTAGACCACTTTTGTAGCGGGAAGCCGCCCGCCTTGCACAACTGGTTAAGTTGATTGATGATTTCATGGACCTCACCAATTGATTCTGCTCCTCCGAAAATGTCGTCGATATATCGTCCGTGTTTTAGGCAAGGAACTGCTGATGGAAAATTGGTTCCCTCATCTTCAATAAGCTGAGTAATGGTACGAAGCGCTAAATAAGGCGCGCAAGCCAATCCATAAGTAACAGTGGTGAGCTCAAAAGAGTTGACATCCTTGTCTGAATTCGACCATCGGATGCGTTGAAATCTCCAATCGTCGGGGTGTACTTGGATTTGCCTATACATCTTTTCTATATCAGCAGAAAAGACGTATTGGAATTGCCGAAACCAAATAAGAACGTTGAATAAATCCACTTGAAGCTTTGGGCCTGTATGCAATATCTCATTTAGAGAAATTCCGGATGTTGTACGACTTGATCCATTGAACACGACTCGTAGTTTCGTAGTTGTACTACTCTCCCTCCACACTCCATGATGAGGAAGATAAAAATTGGGAGGTAAAAGTTCTTCATTTACATCGGTTATTAATTTCATATGCTGGAGGTCTTCATATTCCCTCATAAATTTGAAATAGGCTTCCGCATATTTTGCGTTCACTTGAAACCGATTTCGCAGAGAATCCATCATTCTTGAAGCTCGATTATAAGAGTTTCCTAAACGTTGAGGAGGCTTCTTGAAGGGCAGACGCACCACATACCGTCCTTGATCGTTCCGAGAGTGGGTATCTTTAAAGTGTTGCTCACATTGTTGATCTTCCGGGGAGATGAAGGATTCTTGGCGTGCACCAATTTCTTCAAGTTGCCAAAAACGATGGAGAAGGTCATATAAGCGGGAATCCATTGAAATATGGTAACTTCGCATAGAACGATTCGTCGATTCCGATGAAGCGGGGCCGGAGAGGATCCAACCAAACGAGGTTAATTGTGCAATAGGCGTATTCGGCGGACCTTTGATTAAACCGTCCTTAATGATCTGAGGGTAACAATTGGAACCGATGATTAGATCAATCGAACTGGGAATTCCATATTGAAAATCGGCTAAAGGCAATCCATCCAGATGTGACCAGGATTCTCCGGAGACTTTACTTGACGGGATCGAACTCGTTAAGCTAGGGAGAATATGCGCTGATATGTGGAATTCTTCTGATGAATCATGGAGAGAAATAATCTTGAAAAAAGTGATGCCACGAGTCTTGTTAGTAGAATGTTCCCCGACACCTATCAGGGAAATACTTGATTTGGAGCGAGGAAGCTTGAGAGCTTGGACAATTTTTTCCGAAATGATGTTGATCTCCGATCCCTGATCTATAAGGGCTTTGATCTTCATGATACGTCCATTTTCGTTGGCAATTAACATTTGAGCGGTGGCGAGAAGAGTGCACATAGACGCCTGATTAGCATGTACAGCGGCATGCAATACTTGCGAGGGAGTGGTCTTGCCTGAAGTTTCGGTGGATGGTTTAACCAATGGGTGTTTAAATTGACTTTCCATCTTGGGAGGTGTTTTTTGGTGAATCGTAGTGTGGTGCTTCTTACCACACTTAAGACATCGTCGAGTTGATTGACATTTTGAAACTCGATGTTTCCCCAAACAATTGTAACATAATCCTAGCTTTGTGATTAGAGAGTGTCGTTGCTGCGTAGTTTGAGAGGTATATTGAGGGCAAACGCTCAAGAAATGTTTGGCAGAGCACACGATACATGAGGAGAATTGTGAGCCATTAATTTTCTTTTGAATCTGATGATAGGCCTTAACTGCTTGCGATGGGATTTTCTTTTTTATTGGCAAGTTTTGCGAATTTTCAAAGGCCTGCAAAGAGAGAAGGCGAGTAACAAGAAACTCACACAGATGTTTCCAAGTCGGAGGTTCTTTTGTGGAACCGAGATGATGCTCCCAGACTTTAACGGATTCGGCATCCAGCCTTTGAACGGTTAGGAACACTAGAAAATCATCCCAGTGTTCAACTGGGCGTTGTAGCGTCTCTAGTGAGCGATAAATTTGCATGATGTTGGTGTAAAGACGCTCGAGCTCACTGGAGGATTCCTTCGCGATCTTCTTGAGGGAGAGCAACGATTGAATTGCTGAATTTACAAGTAGTCGTTTGTTTTCATAAAACGAGATCAGATCGGTCCAAGCCTTTTGGAAATTATCCGCAGTAAGAGCCGTGTTCTTGAGGAGATAAGCTGCAGTGCCAGTCAGACTGGCTTTTAAATATTGCAACTTTTCGACCGGACTTAGGCTTATATTTCCAATAATGATGGAAGAAAATAGATCTTTGAAGGACATCCATTCGGAAGCATTTCCACTGAATTTCGGCAGGTCGATTCGAGGGAGTCTTGTGTGATGAGAAACAGCCAGTTGGTTAGATACAGGTTGAGAGAGAGATTGAGTTGAAGATGTCCTTGGAATAGTAAAATCCGAGTCGTGATGAGCGTTCATCTTGTCCAGAGAGTCCAGATATTGCTCATACGTTCGAGCATAGCAATCCTCTTCAAAATAAGTGTGATTTCGAATCAACTCGTTGTCTTCTGTACTGAGCTGATTGACAGCTACAATAACTGCTTCATGAACAATAGAGAATTTTTCCCAATTCTCATTTAAAGCTGTAACACGAGCTTTAATCAGCCTTGAAGTGATGTCAGTCGTTGGAATTTTATTGAAGCTTTCAATTGCTTGAAAGATCAGGGCACTCAAAGATATCTGCTGCTCGATGCGAGCTTCCACGTGAGAAATCCTCATGATGCTTGAAGATAGATTATCGGTGGTATTAATCCTTTGATGGTATTTCCAATTCAACCAAATTATCCAGTTCTCATATAAAATCCGGCTTACATAAATATCTGGCTCACCTAAGTATCCGGCTCGAAGGACCAAATGTTCCGGATATACTTAGGGAGTTGGTGGACTTTTATAAATATAATAACAGAAATTTATTGTGAGAGAAACATACTATCAACTTTACTCATTATGATCAAATCTTCACATATATATATATATATTAACGCTTAAGGAATATAATAGATATTATATCCAATTAATAAGTCACCGTTAAATGTAGAAAACAGAATATCTGAACGGTATATAGAATTTCATTTAATTCAGTCAAACATAAATGTCTTAAAGATATGATAATTTCATGACGTCAAATAAAATATAAGGATTAGACATATATAAAACATGACATCAAATCAAACATAAATATTAAACATATATATATCAAGACGTCAAATCAAACATAAGTATTAAACTAATTTAAATCAAGACGTCAAACCAAACATAAGTATTAAACACATAAAAAAGCAAGGCGTCAAATCAAACAACAGTATTAAACATATATAAATCAAGACGTCAAATCAAACTTGAGAATTAAACATATATAAATCAAGACGTCAAGTCAAACATAAGTATTAAACACATATAAATCAAGACGTCAAACATAAGTATTAAAAATAAATCAAGACGTCAAATCAAACATAAGTATTAAACACTATAAATCAAGACGTAAATCAAAACATGAGTATTAAACACATATAAATCAGGTCAAGTCAAAATAAGTATTAAACACATATAAATCAAGACGTCAAATCAAACATAGTATTAAACACATATAAATCAAGACGTCAAGCCAAACATAAGTCTTGGTGAGATCAACAACCATAAGTGACGTTAGTATTTTAAACATATAAAATTAGTACGTTAAACCAGACAAAAGGTATCGTAGCAGCGAATAGATTCAATACGTTAAATAGATGTGAATGACTTTAGTATCCTGGCTAGGCCAATCTTAATAGAATCCTGGCTAGGCCAGTCTTGAAAGAATCCTGGCTAGGCCAGTCTTAATAGAATCCTGGCTAGGCCAGTCTTAAAAGAATCCTGGCTAGGCCAGTCTTAATAGAATCCTGGCTAAGCCAGTCTTGAAAGAATCCTGGCTAGGCCAGTCTTAATAGAATCCTGGCTAAGCCAGTCTTGAAAGAATCCTGGCTAGGCCAGTCTTATAGAATCCTGGCTAGGCCAGTCTTGAAAGAATCCTGGCTAGCCAGTCTTAATAGAATCCGGCTAGGCCAGTCGTGAAAGAATCCTGGCTAGGCCAGTCTTAATAGAATCCTGGCTAGGCCAGTCTTGAAAGAATCCTGGCTAGGCCAGTCTTAGAAGTTACCTTGTCGAATCCTTTTAATTAAGAATACAAACGGCTCTTTTTCTTTCCTCATCAGGCGAACTCAAGGGAATTGTCCTCCAAACCAAGAGATATGTCCCATCTCATAGTTAACCTTAAAAGGTTCCAAAGCGTCCAAGCTCGTAGTTTTCCAAAAGAATTATATATTCAAATCAATCTCTCCTCAATGTCTGAACCGAACGGAAACCTTTTTATCACTGAACTTAAGCGTCTCCACGGACAGTAGAGAATCGACCAACAAGGATTCCTAAGCAACGATTCACGTTTGTTTTTTTTTCAAGAGAGGATCGCGAACAGAAGCCGACTCGGCTTAGCGGGACGACGAAGGAAGAGGCTAGCGCCTCAAGCGTTCGTCTTAGGCACTAACGGCCTCTCGTAGCGCCTCTTCTTCCGGCGCGCTACGCGTCACTCGCGGAGGCGAATAAGACGCGAGAATTCAAACGTCAGAGAGTTTCCCAAACAATACTCAACCCCCTATTGAACCCTATATACGTATAAATAATAAAAATAAAACTGATGCAAGTATAAAATATTCAGGAAATCTTGAAACTTTTTAAACAAAACTAAAAAACAAAATAATGATACAGTTTCATAACTGAAATATATTATTTGCATTTACACACAAATTTATTAATGCAAATGTTTTTTTATTATTTTTCAATTTGTCATACGGTTTAAAATGCACAAATGAACCAAACTGACTTTGCAAGAGCTCGTGCCCTTTGAACCCAAACAAAAAATTATAACAAAAATACATCTTGTGTACATTACTTCAAATTGAAAATTCCACTCGGATCCAAAAGAACCATTTTACAAAAGATAGAGATTATAAAGTCAATTTGGTTTATCAGTACAAGCTGAATTTTATGACAAGTTGAAAATAAAATAATTTTTGCACAGATAAATTGGACTGTAAAAAATATTTCAATTATAAAATTGTTTCCTTATTGCGGCTTTCTTTGATTAGTTTTTTTTTATAAGGTTTTAAGTTTTTATACGTGCAATAGCACCACAGTTGTAGGAAATTAGGGAAAATAGTTTAAATAAGAGAGCAGAGAGGACTTATGGCAAGGAGTTCGTGGTGGAACAGGCATAGTGGTTCCTTGTTGTGGTGTAGGTCCCGGTTTCGAATCCGTCTGACCCCATATTTTTTCTCTGCTCTAGCAAATTAGAAGAATTTTACGTCTACACAGTTTTATTTTAATAATTTTTAAGCGATCTCTTCTATACAACTATATAATTATTTTCAAAATTATATTATATTAACTGTGCACCTCATATATTTTTAAATATTTTTGTAGATTAAGGACTTGGGTATTTTTGTACAAGCGGACGTCAAAAGTACTGTATTAAAACTAATGCAGGAAATAATGAGCAATGCATTAGCTTCGAATTATAGTTTCCACGGAGCCCACAAAAAAAAAGCATTTGATAAACTGAAGCTTCTTGATGTCATATCAAGTAAGTCAAATCGTATCAAAATAAATATAACCAATTCATGCTGATGTTTAACTATGTAACCTTTTATTTGTATCTTATTTTTTATCTATTACGACATATTTAAAATAGCAATTATATAAATTATAAATTAAATTAATTTTAATTTGTATATAGGTGTTGTCCGCTGCCGTTTTACAAAGTCTCTTGTTACCAATAAACATATAAGCGATCCAATTAAATCATGGCTGCGTCATGCCCCTGCGCGCTTTTCACGAGAACAAAAGTAAATTTTATTTAACATATGTTTAGATATAGTTTACTATATTTTTCTTTTAACCTACTTAACATGATAACGATTTATATTATTCTTATATATATATATATATATATATATATATATATATAAAATGACGTTTATTTAGCTTTTTTGCAGCAAATGCTTAATGAAATCAAGCGTAGTAAATTACGAAGTTCTGTTTTGCATAAAATTTTATGTTTTATTGCTGTAGAGCAATCTATTTAATTCTGCGAAACAACGATTTCGTAATTTACTACGCTTGATTTTATAAAGTATTTGTTGCAAAAAAGCTAAATAAAAAGACGTAATACTTTATATGTGTAAAAGCCGAATAATATGAAATATTACCATGTTATGTAAGCTAGAAAAAAATTAGTTTTAGAGAAAATAATAATTTACATATACAAAACGTTTTTCAGGAAAATAACACATGTTGCGAATGATTTGGAAATCGTGGCCGAGGATGAAATCAATGAAGTCGATAATGAAAACCAAGTTAATACTGTGGCTAATAACGCAGCTGATAAAAATATTAATGAGAAAATAGTTGATGAAAATCTTCTAAATAGTGATGAAAAAAATCTAAGGTAGTTAGATTTTATGCAATTACTATCATTTTTATGGACCATCAGATCCATAAAAAAGATAGTATTACATATATATATATATATATATATATATATATATATAATATTAATATATATTCTATTACAAATTGTTTCCTTATTTTGTGGTCTCTTTTTTGATTAGTTTTTTTTATAAAGTTGAGTAGTTTTTTTTTATAAAGTTTCAAATTTTCATACGTGCAATAGCACAGCTTTATTTTAATAATTTTTAAGCAAAGGATGTCATGCCCATGTTTATAAGTTGCGTACATAAATTATGTTTATAAATTACGTAGAACTGATATGCAATATACGTAATGTGCAATAATATAATAAGTACTTATATATTTTTCAATAATATATTCATATTCTAACTAATTATCATTTTTATGGACCATCAAATCTATAAAAAAGATAGTATTACATTATAATAATATATGTTCTTATTACAAATTGTTTCCTTATTTTGTGGTCTCTTTTTTGATTAGTTTTTTTATAAAGTTGAGTAGTTTTTTTTTATAAAGTTTCAAATTTTAATACGTGCTTTCATAGCACAGCTTTATTTTAATAATTTTTAAGCAAAGAAGAATTTCATGCCCATGTTTATAAATTACGTACATAAATTACGTTTATAAATTACGTAGAACTGATATGTATGTACAATATACGTAATATACGTAATATACAATAATATAATATGTACTTATGTATTTTTCAATAATATATTCATATTCTAACTATAATTATCATACAATATTACTTTTTTAGAAAGCCCTTACCTGTCTATTTTTTAATTTTATTATTTTAACTGGAAATCTTATTTGTATGCAAACGCAACTTTCTTTGTGCACTATCTGTATATCTCCTTAATAGTACGCTGTTCATTTTGAATAGTAAAATATCCAATATTGAGCACACATACAGTGGAGACAACGTACAGTTGATGCACACGGAAAGTTGAAATTGTTTATATAGGTGATGTGAATACTTGTGACAATTTGCAGGTGAAGAGTGTATATGTTACCGGCCAAACCCTGATTTTAGGATAAACTAATTTTTCCTGTTTAGCCTAAGAAAAACTAATTTGTATATAAGAATGATATTTAGATAGGAGTGCACGGGGGGACGGGGCTTTGTAAAACGCCATCGCTCTGTGCATTCTCACATAAAAAAAAACAACTTGAAAGCGAGGAAACTATCAAGGTTAATAGTACTGCATAGAAGTTGAACTGGTTAATTTTAACGCATTTTGTATGGACTAGTTCAACCTAGGAAAAATTAGTTTATTCTGAAATCGGGTTTCGTCGGTAACATACATGGAGAGTCTTCCGCGTTTCTTCGATAATGTGTCTATTGACGTTTTCATAGAATCTAGATTGTCCTATTAGTCTTGATACAATGTGGATGATGGATGTGCCTTCATACAGACCGCATAATGTCTTTTATTGAATTTGACAAGATTGTCCCATTGTGATAAAAAAGCGGACATTTACGTCCTATGGGCATTTCATGAGACAATCCTATTACGATCGCGGGATAACTTGTATGATGTCTCATAGACGTATTTTGGATGTACATTCTTCTCGATACCTATTATAAAAATCTTGGGACATCGTAAGGACCCTTTTAAGACGTCTGCAAGATTATCCCATTGCGGTAAATAAAGCGTACATTTACGGCCCTATGGGCGTCCCATAAGACAATCCTATTACGATCGCGGGATAACTTATATGATGTCCCATAGACGTATTTTGAATGTATATTTTAATATCCTCTCGATATCTTATGAAAATTTTGGGATATTGTGAGGACCCTTTTAAGACGTCTGCAAGATTATCCCATTGCGGTAAATAAAGCGTACATTTACGGCCCTATGGGCGTCCCATAAGACAATCCTATTACGATCGCGGGATAACTTATATGATGTTCCATAGACGTATTTTGGATGTATATTTTAATATCCTCTCGATATCTTATGAAAATTTTGGGATATCGTGAGGACCCTTTTAAGACGTCTGCAAGATTATCCCATTGCGGTAAATAAGGCGGACATTTACGGTCTCATAGGCGTCCCATGAGACAATCCCATTACGATCGCGGGATAACTTGTATGATGTCCCATAGACGTATTTTGGATGTATATTTGTTGTCTGGGCAGGGAAATCTAGAAAACCGGGCATTATCAAGGAATTTTATAAATCTGGAATTGGCGGGGAAAAGAAATTTTTTATTAAATAAATATAAACTATATATAATTATAATTTTATTAAATAAATATAAAAAATATAACAAGGATTTCATGATTTAACATTTAATTGATTTATTATAAAGATATATGCAAATTATATATTTGGAAAAAATAATACTAAAAAGTCAGAGAAAAAATTAATTTCTGGTCTTGGAAAATCTGAAAAAGTTAGGAAATTTTTTTATTGAGTCTGCTGGGCATCCTGAATGTGATTTTGTTAATATTTCATTTCCACAAGGTTTAGTTTGCGAAAAATCCCTTACTTTCAATCGCTGAAAGATTATTGCTGCTTCATTTTTGTATTAGATTTTTAAAAAGTCTGTTTTACGTTTAAAACACGTTTGTACAAGTATTGTATGGAGGCACCCTGTATATATTTAAGAAGGACATATGTTGAAATTTTATCTTCTTATTCCTTGCATAATAAAGGAAGTATTTGGAGTAAATATTAAACATTTAAGAATAATAATTATTTTGAAATAAATACAATCGATAATTCTGATATAAAAATTGGGTATAAAGGACTAGTAAGGCCTAATAAACTAGTAAGAACTCTTTATATCTGAATTTTTGTTATTATTTATATATCAGAATTTTTTGATTTTATTATTTTTATATAATTCCTATTTCTAATATTTAATATTTTCTCTATTGTATGTAGGGCTTTACAGTTGTAAATATTTCTTTCAGAATAACACTAAATATAACAAAAAAATAGGGAAAAAGAAATAGTGAAATAGAAATGTAAATGATTATTTTTTCTATTTAAGAACAAAGCATTTAGGTATAGAAATTTTTTTATATACTGATTATAAAATCATATATTATAAATTTATTGTATTCTTTGTTTTTATTATCGTTATTTTGAAAATACAAACGGATTCAACATTGATGAAATGCCTATTAATGTTAATCAAAGATATGCCTTTATACATTTACTATTCGACATTTAAAAAATATAATGTTTATTTATAATTATTTGTAATAACAATTTTGTTTATAACTCAAGTCATAAAAAATACAGCATTTAGAAAAATTTATTCAGTTTGAGATAAAAAGATTCGCTGGCATATCTTAACTTTAACTAGTAAAAACTCGATCACTTCAGCCGTTTATTGAGTACCGAATCTATAATATAGATTCTCTCAATTGTTCACGTAAAAATACACGGTGCCTCGTTTTTACATAAGGGGTTGTTTGGTCTCTTGATTTTTGAAAATTTTATTTGCAATGATTTTTCTTTCGTTCGTAATTATACAATTTTTAAAAGTTATATGCTAAACAATTGATCGAGGATGAAATTTTATCAATTTTTATTATAGCTCAAATGTTTGCAGTTGTATTTTATGATTTGTTTTCAATTTTTTTTGTGAATGTACCGTTTAAATCATAAAATGAATCAAGTTTATAAATATTTTGTGCTTTATTCTGAAATAGAACAATGTCATTTATTTATATATTGCGTTTTTATATTTCCTCTTTCTTTTCTCTTAAATTTCTAATATATTAATATTTTTGTCATCAAAATATTGACATATCAGATAAAAATGTATCATGCATAATTAAAATCACAAGGAAATTGTAAAACTGTAAGAAAACTTTGCTGACGAATCCGAATCGATAATACAGGACGTGAAAAAGTTCCGGACCTCTTGAATGACTCAGCATGTAAAAATCAAATTAATTCGAAAATGAATTCTTCTATTGTCAAGCGCATTTCATTGTCCGAAAGTTCCTATTTGGTATCTGTCACTTTCACAAATCTTTAAGCTAAGCAGAAAAATGTTAAGAACACATGTTCGAGAGACACTCTATGGTTAAAGGATACCCACGAATATTTTCTGTAACTAGGAAAATTTTTTTTATTCTGAGTTTTTTTTTTGTTATATATTCGTTTATGGTTAGTTTTTTTTTAATTTTGACTGGACTTTTTTTTACTTGATCCTCTGCTGCGCGAATTTTAAGAGACATTCTTGCTTGCATTCTTGGTTTAATCGTTAGATTAATCTTCTAAAAAATGCAGTAGCAGGAGTCTGGTTCTTAAAGAGAGAGAGAAGCTTTATTGTCTTCTTAATCTCTCTGGAAATTATTAGTATTCGTTTCACAAAGCATCTAAAACTTTTTTAATTTTATTGTTTGATGTGATTTTGAAGAAAAAGGGATTTGAAAGATCAGATCTCTCAGAATTTTTTCGTAATATTAAAGCAAATATTTTATGCAGCAATTAAATAAATTACGATTGTTTCTGTTCGACTCGCGCAAAGATACACGTTGCTTCGCTTCTATGTAAACTATAGGCGCGAGACACTATACGGAGAGAATTTTCTCTTAGAATTTACCCTGAAAATTATAGTAATCATGGACAATATGGAAGAATTTTATAAAGATTTTCTCTGATTAACACTTATCACAATAAAAAACATTAATATGTACATAATAAATTTTAGTATGTACATAGTAAATTTTACTATGTATGTACATATAGTAAAATCCATCGAACATATTTTATATTTTATTGTGGTAGATATTACTATTTTTATTGTGGTAAATATTAATCAGAGAAATTCTTATAAAATTCTTCCAATATCATGTTGTCCATAATTACCATGATTTTCAGGGTAAATTCGAAGAGAAATTCTTTCTATGTACCGTTTTTGGATATAGATTGATTATATTCTGCTACATTAGATCATCGCTTTTTTTATCGAGTTTCTATTTTTTTAATTTTTTTATATATT